TTAATTATATATATATATATATATATATATATATATATATATATATATATATATTTAAATGAATTAAAATTAAAATATTTATTTTTATAAAATATTAAATATAGAAAAAAATACATAAAATGTTTATAAAATTAACCAAAAAAAGTAATGCTCTGATAACATATATATATATAAGTGGCATTCTTTAACTGGTGACACCTGAATGCATTGGCAAGTGGCATGGCAGTACATCTGGCTGGATTTAGCTGTTTGTTTTATCAATGTAACTTGTTTTCAAGGATCAGAGAACAAGGTCGCTCTAGTCAGTCCAAGCAACTGCAGTCTTCTGTGTGCAGTCCAAGAACGGATTGCTGGATGATGAAGTAGCCATCTATAAAAATGTGACCCCTGGGTCAGAGCCAGTGAGCAGCAAGCCTGATTTATTTCCTTCAGGCTAGAAAACACTGTTTTCATGAAAGTATAACGAGCAGCAGAGCTTTATTAAGCGTGCTGAGCCATACCTGGCTTGTCATTCTTGAACTGTTCAAATAAGAAATAATTGCTTTGCTGGCTGGCTTGCTTTCATTATCTGCCGTGTGTAGGCAATGCACGCCCAACTAAAATCTGTTTCCCAGGTTGTTTTCCGAGAGATATATGCTGTTGTTTGCATCGAGAGGCAGTAAGATGAAGATGCAGATAAAACCTTTCAGTCTTTTGAAGGATGGAGCGGCCTGCCATAATTGCACAGAGGGCATTAGAATAGCGCCGTTCTACATTCAGACACTCACTTGGCAATCGGCAGTCTATTATTCATCATGGATTAATGTTGTATGTGACACGGATGAGGAAAACATAGCATGCCGATCCACATTTTGATGATGTCACAATGAGCTTAGTGTCATGCAATGAAAATATAATACAGCTTCAACTGTAGCTCAAAATATACTTTCCACTTTCAAAGTCATTCGAGGGAAGATCACTGCGGCTGAAGTAAAGACGAGCGCTCCATGAGTTAACCAGGGATTGGCATCTCTAACTGGGCAACATGCAATATGGAAAAGCAGCTAAAAACAAACCGGCAGCCTGATGAAGTGTGTGCTTAATGATGAGCGCCGGCTTGTGCTCGAACATTAATATTTCAGACTTTAAGGCTCTCGTGTCATACATTACTCAAAACATCCTCCCCACGCTCTGTTGTCTCCTGTAGTGCCGCAAGAAAGATCTTAAAGTGATACCCAAAGATGAAAACTATGTCATCACTGACAAACTTTAAAGTCGTTACCAACTGGAAGGATTTCATTTCTTCTGTGGAACACAAAAGGTGTATTAGAGAAATTAATTTTAAGTTGTCATTGGCTTATCATAATCTTTTTCATTATACACAGCAAAAATACTACTTTCCTACTTCTAAAAATCTAGTTAATTTAAAGTGTTACTTGCTGATTATCTGTAATTATTTGTAAACATTTACTAGCAATTTCTGAGTGAAAGTTGTCACTACATCAGATATATATATATATAATTATTATATTTTTTTTTTTCATTATATGGGGTCATTTATGGTCATTTTGAAGCTTGACAGCACTGGTTTCCATTCATTGTCATTATATGAAATAGGTCAGGATATTCTTCAAAAAATCTCTTTTGTGTTCCATAAAAATCTAAGTGGTTTGTTAATGTAAAGTGTTTGTCATTTTGGGTGAACCAACCATTTACAGATCTTTAAACCTTCACATAACCAAGAAAAAAACGTTTTTAAAAAGAACGTTTTAAATGTTCAGAAGACATCTTTTCATATCTTCATGAGAACATTAGCGGAACGTTCTTCGAGCCTATTTTTGTGAGCTGAGTGTCCGCGCAGACAGACTGTGAATGTGTTTGCTGTGAGCTGAAGAGAGAGCTGTGAGGCAGATTACTGGATCAAGTGCTTTTGTGATTGCAGACTCTGTTCCTGCTGCTTCGGCCTGCTTCTTTTATCAGATGCTCTTTCCGTATGTCTAATTAATCACTAAAACAGACCGATAAATGATGCATTTCTAACTCGTGCATGGGAGTTTGTTCCTAGCTGTCCCTGTATTAGGGCTGATCTGAAGTCCTCTGCAGCTCTCGGGACAGACTGTGTGCTAATAGTTTAACCCTGTTATTGTCCCAGTGCTGGTGTTAGACGAGCTCATGTGAGTTCCTGGAGTTAATCACGCTACTCATCCTGTGAAGCACAAAGCCCTCTTAAACTGAAAGCCAGATTAGACAGGCACTTTAATGCTTAGATTGTGCTGTCAGAAGATTTAAGGCTGGATAATCACCATGCAGAACTAGCTGGAACATTTCTGCCATTCAGTTTCACCAAAGTCACGAAGAATAAATACACTGTAAAAAATAAGTGTACTTTTAACTGTAACCCAGAATAAGGGGTGCTAACTTTGGCAACAGAACCAATCATAAACTGCCTCAGGACTTACCACATTAAATATTCATGAGCTTTATACGGCCTCAGAAATGCTTAGGTGATTTGTTTAGTTTCAGCATCTGAGAGGACTCTGCCAGTAAACTTCCATGAGCTTTTTCAGTAGACTAAAAGCGTGGAAATTTGAGGGGTAAAAAGTAACAAAAACTCAACTGGGCAACATTAAGAATGTGCTCTTGCTTTACTCACGGGCATATTTGTCCACCTCAAGCATCAGGCTGATCCTTGCAGAAGAGCTGCATCATAACCGCTAATGTGGAAAAAACTGTAGTGCAACATTTGCATGGCAGCATTTTCACAGGTAGTATTTAAAATAATTCGCAAGCTCCTTACGTTATTATTGAAGCCTGTTTCTGTCATGGAATAAGGAAAAGAAACATAATTGCGACTTTTTAACTCACAATTCAGTGTTTTCCCCCACAATTCTGAGTTTATGTCTCATAATTTAGACTACATACTCAAGTCAAAATTCCAAAATA